ATTTTATCAAATTATTATTAAAATAATTTTTTTTATTTTTATTATAATTAATATAAGTGTAAACTGACAGCTACATAATTCGTTTTATACTGTGAATACTAATTAATATTCTGTTATGGATAATTACAATTATTAATTACTCACATATTTTTGTTCAAAGAACATTTTTCTAGTTGAGGCCACAAATATGACTTAACACATGCTGCAATTTCATTAGCTCGAATTCCTCTAGAATTGATAATTTCACGAATATAATTGTCATTAGTGGAAAAGTTGTTACCATCTAAATTGTAAGACGTAGTAATAAAGTTATTCCAGGGATATACGAAAAAATTGTATTTCGAATCTCCTAGCATCTTTCTTGAGTATTAAAAAATTTAATTAAATTGAACTAACAAGGCTCACGACTTATAAACGCTATTTCAACAGGCACACCTTCGTATGTTCTATAAGCAAACGCATGTCGTACTTTATATACTAAAAGATTGGGCTATGTGTTGATTATGTATAATAAAACTATTATAAAATTAACAAATACAAGACTTATTTTGTTTGATTGAACGGAATGGCCTAAAATATACTTCGATAATTATATGAAAAATACGTAAAGTAATTTACGGTTAAGATAACATTAATAACATTAATAAAAATAATAATAATCATATTTCCCCAGGATACATATACCAAACGTTATTAGCCGACTGCTATTATTATTTAATAGTTTATTATATAATCACACAATATACACACTTAACATGTAATCATTTATTTTTGTCGATTTCAACCTCTTAAAATCAAAATTTCGAAAAAAATTTTCTTAGTACACGATGAAAATATAATATTAATCTATACTCAAAATTTCCAGTCAACAGCTCTAATAGGTTCGGCTCTGCGTTGATTATGAATCAGGGAAACACTTTCGTTTATGTATATATATGTTACGATAATAGTATGAATACCGGTGAAACCTAGGATATACATCATTGTTTGGTCAAACCCCGAATGATTTTAGCAGTTCGGGCTTTTAGAAGCGAGTTTTGGTAAATCTTAGGATCGACAATTAATGTTTGTAAAAGTCCGACTCTAATAGATTTAGCTTCTTTAACTTTACTTAAAAATATATTATATTTTTCATCAGTTAAATAAAAATTATTTTTGTCGTTTTTTAACTCCACGACGCCATTTAAAATTTCATAAAATCGTATTTTAAACGACATATTGAATACTGTGTATACTCATAATACTAACCGCAACATTGTAAAACGAATACTGCTCATAAAATTACATCCTACAATTGTCCCTGATATCAATTTATTAAATTATTCTTCGATTAAACCTGTTCAATATCTTAATCATTGAATCATAGATTACAACTTTTATTATAATTCGTATCTCAGTCAAAAATTAAATTAGATATATAAATTAAAACTATTGATATCAACACCAATGAACAAGAATAAATACAGGTATAAATTATCAAAGAATCGGAAAAAATATATAATTTCGGACTTTTACAAACATTGATTGTCAATCCTAAGATTTACCAAAATTCGCTTGTAAAAGTCCGAATTGTTACAATCTTCGGGATTTGACCAAACAATAATGTATATCCTAGGTTTTATCAAAATCAATTGGTAAATGTCTAAATTTCGGACTTTTACCGATCGCAGTCGGTAAAACCTAGGATTTACCCGTAAATCCTAGGTTTCACCAGTATTCGCACTATTACCGTAACATATATATACGAGTATAGATTTATTGAACTCCATTCAGTTTTTTATTAAACATCTTAAATTAACATTTTTTGAAATAATCGAATAAATTGAAATAATTCACGGTAAAATTCAAATGGATTTTTCATATACCTCCGTTATTTTTACAACCACAAATGTTGTATTTTCTTATATACCTAATTAATTTTATCTTCCAAAATTACACGATTTATTTATTTATGAGTTCTATAAAAGATTGATTTTAACACTAAATACTATAATCTTCAAAGATTACTGTCCGCCAAATACCTATTTAACTTTCCTAGTTACACTTAAGTAAAAATCAGTACGTATCACAAACGTTGATACATTTATAATATTAAGCAATCTTGATGTTTTTGCTTTTTCATATGAATGATTTAAAAAAAATAAGGGGAAAACTAGGACAATAGATTCTTCTCCGTATATATTCATTGTTTTTATTTCAGTAAACGTGATTCTCCGGTTTGATGGGGATTTATTTTATTTTTAAGGAAACTCAAATATGTGCGGGTTTGCAAGTTATTTTTCTTGTTAACGCAAACCACGAGCAAAAAATATACACCGAAATTATTTTTTCCTCGCACACAATGTATTAAACATTGTAATCACTTATTTGATAACCGAAATCCATGTACGTTATTCGATATATCCATACATAATTTAATACACAATTACAGTTAATTATTAAAAACTAAAATGTCATGTGTCATATCTAAACCACAAATTTATAAAAAGAAAAATAGCAAAAAATAACAATTTCTTTAGACAATCTACTTATTCCATGAGTAATAACTAGCTGAGGTTAGTAAAAACATTTTCATTATTTTTTTGCTTACTTTTATATTTTAATTTTGTGTATAAATACTAACATTTTACAAACAAAATTTAGACACTATCTTAGCGGAAAGTAATGACACAAAAATAATTTTACCTTGTCAATGATTCAGTACATCACTATTGTGCTATTGAAAACTTAATTTTACTAATAAATAGTATATTAATTGTTTATGATATTTTATTTATGTTAATAAAATAACATATAAAAAATATGAAAATAAATTACTGTGGTCAAGCTACACAAAATCAAGTAAGAGATACAAATGGTGAATACATTTACATAAAAAAAAAACATTTGGAGTTTATTAAAAATCTAAAAACAATCTTTCAAAACAACTGTTGTAGAAAAATAAAGTAGATATACCAATCAGAAAAATAGTAAAGAAAACTTAACATTGAGAACATTTAGTATTATTGTTTGAACATATTTTAGCAACACATTTTTAAAAAATTTAATTAAAAATTAATAAAATAATACGGTGACAGAATAAGGGCTTTGTAAGACAATTGTCTGATGACTGAAATTGAGCAAGTGTAGATATGATAAGAAACTACCCAGACAAAAATTTGGTTAAGTTAATATTATAATAACGTTAGTAATTGATTAATTACCTATCAAATGTTAAAATTTTGGGGTTAATATAACATTATCTAGAGCAGCGTTTCGTAGAACTACGAATTACAACCTTTTGTAGTTCGTGGACCCCTGAAGATTTTTAGAAATTGCGGACCCCTTACTAATTTTTTTTTTTTAATACTTTTTTTTACAAAACATCTCATGTTATTAAAACCAAAATTATAATAATTATTTTATACAATAAAATACATTAATAGATATAACAAAACATAGGTACATATTTATAATTATTCTTATTTCACTTAATTTTTCAGTTAACTTAAATTTAATTATTTTAGATTTAATTTATTTTTTTAATATTCTTAAAATTTAATTTTTATTAGCTTAATATGATGGTTGAAACACAAGTTTTATAACATCGTATAATGATAAAATCTATCTATAATATAATATTATATCTTATATAATAAAAAATATATATAAAAAAGAAATAATAATATTATTAATCCAACAATATCATAATAATTCATTCATGTCATGTATTTATGTACATATGTTATGTTTTAGGGTTGCTGCGGACCCCTAAAGGGTAGCGGACCACCGTTAAGAACCGCTGATCTAGAGTCTAAATAGGTAATATTCAATTTAAAATGTTTCTTTAATGCGATTATTAGTTTTTTTATAATATTAAAGTTTAAATCACTTAATAATATTACAAAAACATCAAATTATAAACTTATTATACTATTTTTCCTAAAATATATTTGTATGTTTTGAATTGATTATATTTAAAATGTTTGAATTATTATAAAAAAAAAAAAAAATTAGAGAACATAATTTAACGAATAATCTATATATTTATTATATATTTATTTATATCCATGGGCAGCAAGGTTAATTTAATATGGTCACTAACTCGTGACATCTACCATAATAGCGTTTAATTATATTATATTTAGATTATGATATGTGGTTAATAATTGTATGTAATAGTTATTTAAAAGATTATATATAATAACAGGTATAAAATAATGAAATTTGTTACACTTATGCCGGTTTAATAATTTACCTATGTACCTAACCCCGATGTATTTTTTTAACCCACCTCACAGTGGAGTATTTAAGAATTCATCGATTTTAAAAGGAGTTTACCCAACCACTCACGCAAACTTACCTGGACACAATGAATTTTATATTGCGTCTATGCGGGTTAGGGTTAGGTTAGTTTCACAAGTCAAAGAATATTATTTTCCATGTTTTCGAATCGTGTAATGTCATCCATCTAATACAATAATAATACCTAATTGCCATCGTTGACGAATGTACGAATTTAATCAATATAAAATGTAAATCGAGAAACGCGCGTACGTGAAATAGGTATCGAGGTACCTATGTATTTCGCTTGGCTGTGAAACGACATTAGGAATAACTAATAATAATGAATAATGATCGACGGTCGTTTACTCGCCGAATACTTCGCGATTGTGTGATACTCGTATATTATTATTATTTATCTTCCAAATTATATTATTGCGTTTATTATTTAAAATAGTTTTTACCATCGTGTTTGAAAATTTAAATGTCTGCATCGGTGGCGATAGGCGAATCATAAGCCGTCGCGGGCGTCGTTACCCGCCGTGGTTGTCGATGGCCGAAGGGTGGTAGTGGGGTACAAATAATATACCATATCTACGAATTACGATAATAGTTAGCTAAATATAGCTGAACGGCATGGGATTTCTTATATTAATATTGTGTGGTAACTTGTTATTGCAATTGTATAGATACCTACATTATCATTTATAACTACTGTTTTATAATAAAACGGATGGTTAAATAAAACTTTTATTTAACCGTCCGTTTATCCATGAAGAAATTAATAGATATACAATATGAAAAAAATGTTATCCAGTTTTTTGTCTATTTGTCAATAAATTATCAAATATCAGCGTCTACTCTATTTCCAATCCATAAAGTGTCCTGTACGGCTGAATCCAGTGACTATTCGTATCGTTTTGTATTTTCGAAACGCATTTCACGTGTTTCATGTTAGGTGTGATTTGCGCAATAAACTTTTAAGGTAAGTAAATTAATTATTTGATTAATAATAAAATCTATTTAAATTATTATAAGGCAATATTTAATCCTAAAATACTACTATCTATGTGGGTTTAATCTTTAATGAATAATAATATTTAAGTCTTAACATTTAACACACTCCAAGAATTGACTTCTTTAAAAATAAGGTATATACAATTTACTAGATACTAGTTGTATAGTTATAACATATAAGTGATCCTAGTTCACACAAGTATTGTGACTAGGAAATATTTTTTATAAACCATACAATTATATGAAAGATCTAAAGATACGAATATTATTAAATTTCATGTAGTATTTGTACACAAAAACTATTACTATAGTATAAAATTAAGACTTATATTTGTTAATCATGGCATCTGGGCAACAATGAACAAAAATTAGTTATTTTGCAGATCTAGGAGAATATAATATACAGTTGTATTTTAAAGGACCACCTGCAGTTGCATCTTCATTATCATCTTCAAGTCAACTTCAACAAAATAGCAACAAATATACAACTACAGAGGGTTAGTAATTTTATAATATAAAAATACCCACACATATTTATACACGCTTATTGTAATAGCTTATATTTATTTAAAATTTTAACCTATTATTTTCTACTCTAAATATATAAATCATCTTATTAAATTGTATAGTTAAATTACAATTTATACAATTTGATAACCAAAAATTATTAATTAGATCATATGTTAACCTATATATATATTTTAATTTTTTAGTTATTTAGCTTTTCAGACTTGTTGTTAATACATTAGTTAATGTGAAGTATGGAATTAATAACATATCAAATATTGTTCAATCCAACCATTTAAACATTGATTGTCTTCTCACCAATGCAAACAAAAGTTCTTCTGTAGATCATTCATACGTTGAAAGCAGCATTAATAAGATTATGTTTCCCATTGACAATGATGAAGATTTGTATACTTTTAAAGACAAGATTAAACTGGATAATGGTTTCAAAGAATCTTTGGTAAATTTATGTACTGGTCAAATACTCACTGTTTGGGTTTAAGAAAAAATTAAGTTTTTCTTCTTTATTGAACTACCGTCTAAAATAGATAAAATCTAAATTTTAAATATTTTGAACCATTCAATTTTATAAATAATATCTTTATACCTCATTATTTCCAAATTAATTAATTATTTTAGAAAATAGTTTTTCAGTAAAAGTAGTCTTTCATAAAAGATAATTATGTAGTTTGAATAACAACTAAATTGTTCAAGCTAAGTATAATAATTATTTAAATAAATTACACAAGTTTTTTTTTTTTCAGATATCATCAGAATGAACATAAAATACAAAAATATTCCAGAAAAAGATATAGACCACTGCCTTGGTATATGGCTCTCAAATCCACCATTTTGTATCAAGAAGAAATTAATGCCAAAACAAACTTAATTGTAATCATTATATTTTAAAGAAATAAACAAGAATGATAAAAAATTGAAATTATACCTAATTGTTTGAGTATAAAATTTTGATTTAATACCTATATTTTATTTCCAAATATGGTTTTTAAATATTAGTACATCATTAAATCTAAAAAATTCATAAATGTTTTTGTGGAAATGCTTAAGAGTTAATATTTTAGTGATATTATGAAAACTTAATATTTTCTACCACAGTAATTTTATCTTAATGTTTTCATAATTTTAAAGAATCTTTTAATGACGTTGTTATAATATTCATAATAATATTATTATTAAAATTTTAATATTGTTTCAACATAGTGGTAACATAATTTTGTTGTCTGGGTAACAATTGAATATTCCACTGTAAGCTTTATAAAGGTAACAAAACAAATATAACGTTCTTGAAAGTGTAAACGCAAATAATGTTTTGTTAAATATAAAGCAAAGTAAAATCTGTGAGCTAATATTTTTAAGTTCTTCTAAAATCTAAATATATTAGTTTTATCATAGTATAATGTATGAGTCGACAAAATGTATTTTATATTAAAACGAATTAAATGGTATATATAAATATATTTTAGTAAAATTATGACAGCTTGAGCAATTAATAGGAAAAATAAAAATGTTATATTCGAAAAATGATTGATTTTTTCGAAATGTAAAATTAATCAATGGAAAAATTACAGTAACCTAGATATAAATGTATAATATACATTGTATATACATGTAATTCTAATTGTAATTATTTTTATTATTGAATCCGTTACTCCTATTAAGCAATCTGATTTCCGCTCAGAAAGAAATTACATAGATCAAATATCCGCATTCACCATGTATATAGAAAATGGATTTCAAAAAAAGGAAAAGACCATTGCGGTACTAATTAACCTGTCGGCCGCTTATGACACAGTATGGTGGGAAGGACAACTGTTAAAGTTTTTTGAAACTATCCAATGTCTAACACTATACAAACTACTGAACAAAATACTCACCAACCGCATTTTTACAGTCCACATAGGAGGTAAGAAAAACACACAATGAAGACTAAATAATGAACTGCCCCAAGGATCGGTATTAGCTCCGATTTTATTTAACCTTTAAATCAGGGACATACCAGATATATTATCTCGTAAATTATGCACATGATATCACTGTTGCAAGCCAACATGATAAATTTGAAGAAAATGAAATCAGTCTTAAGGAAGACCTAAATAAACTACACAAATATTTCAAACTATGGTGTTTCATCCCAAACACAAAAAACCGAGACAACAGTTTTTCACTTCAATAACAAAATAGCTAAGTGCAAATCAACAATACATTTTAAATGGTGCCCAGCACATTAAAATCCTAATCCTAAGCACTTAAGTGTTACTCTCAATAGAACGCTCACGTATAAAAACTATTTACTAAAAAATTGTGCAAAAATTAAAACAAAAAACAACATAATTCAAAAGCTGGCAGGATTGTTTTGGGGAGCATCTCCCGAGACACTACGTACCTCGGCATTGATACTAGTTTACTCTGCTGCGGAATATGTAGCTCCTGTGTGGTTAAACAGTGTTTATTGCAACAAACTAGTTGCACAGTTTAACATAACCATAGGCATAATTGGAAGAGTCATTAAGTCAACCCCAACTCAATGGTTACTAGTGCTATATAACGTCCCACCACCCAACACATGACGTCATCGACGTGCAGCAACTCTAAAAGAATGGATAAATTATAAAAATAATATGACACTCCCAATACACGCTGACATTCCTTCGTACCAGGAGCTCCAGCGTAACAATTTTAACTGCATAGAGGAGAAGAAATCGATATGGAGAGAATTTAACCCAGATAGGGGCGGATTGGTCTATCGGAAAATCGGGAACCTTCCCAATGGGCCGATATTTGTTTGGGCCGCTCTATATTATTATATAATTACCAAAAAAAAGTTTTATTTTATAAAATAAATATATATTTAAAGATGCATTAAGATCAAACTTCAAGTTCAAGTTGAAACTGATTAATCATGTGACCCACTTAAAACTATTATAGCTATAATTATGGTAAAGTTATTGTAAATTTTACTAATTTAGGGGTGAAACTAAACAAATTTTGAAATTGATGCAAATTTTTTTGGGAGCGGGAGGAGTAATATCGTTTAATTTGCGGTTCATGGGCGATTTTGTTTCATATTTTCTGGGCCGAAAATAATTGCCAATTCGCCTCTGAACCCAAACATAAACTTATGACAAAATTATCATATAATATATATTATTATTATTATTTTATACATATTATGTTATACTGGTATATTTTATTTACTTATTTTTATAATTTGTTAATTTATTTAATATTTTATTATTTTTTGTTATTTTTTCTCATGGTCATATATACATACATATTATGTGTATTTCTCTATGCTGTTATACATAACCATACGATAAATAATAATAATGAATTACTCGTATATTGGCCTTAAACCAATATCAGATTACAAATAATAAATAAATATAGAAAATAAAATGTGTAAAAGCATAACAAAACCAGATACCTATTTATTATAAAATACTATGCACAACAAAAAAAAAAAAATGATAAAGTATAAAAATACGATCGTATTTTACATTTCAAAAACCTAACTATATGAATAATTTTGAAAATAATTGACAGGTATACAAGTGGATGAAAATCGAGTTAAAATATAAAGTATCGATGTACATATATGTGAATTATGATGTATCTATTTTTTTTCTTTGGCAATTTTATACTGTCATTAAATGAAAAGCATATAGGTAACTTGAGGCGATAATATATTATTTATAAAGTCGCAATAAAAAATATACATGTATGAAGATACATATTTTTTTTAAATATTTTTGATCTAGAAAATCATTGTTAAATTTACTATTTGATTTTGATTTTGATTTTAATTATTTAACTAATTCATAATAACAATAAAAAATATTAATATAAAAAAATAGAGAAAAAAATTTAAATAATATTTAAATATGATTAATATTAATCATAATATAGATCATAAAATAAAATTATATAAGATTAACAGTGTATCTATTCAATTATAAGTTTCAAACATTTTAGTCTTTATGGTGATTTAACAGGTTAGATTAATATGAAAAATATTGCAGGGCAGTTCAAAATATCCATTGTATCCTAATTACAAACCATAGTCCATAAGAATATTATAGAATTTATTTCAGCTTTTCAATTTGATCACACTGTTTAGAGTTATGTAATTAAAATTGTATTTTTTTCTTTACTTTAATTTTTAGTATTTAGAATCTGTAAAAACTATTTTTTTCATTTTTATATCATAAGCACGTATTAGGAGTGATACTGTAATATGAAAATATGGGGTTAAAATAGCCCTACATTAGTGACACTTTATACAGTAATTAATTTTAATTTGTTAGTCCAAAAGGAATCTACACCACGTTTGTTAGAGGTTGTTTTAGGTCTTCTAAAATATTAGGAATGAATCAAAGACGTAGGTAAAACTTATGTATCGAAAGAGGGGGTAGATATATTTAGATAATAATTATTTTTATAACCCTTTTTATTTATTTTATTATCTATTTAATTATTAGCTGCGATTTTATTAATGAGAAGTTTTAACACTAAACACGTCCCCTTTTCCCTACACCACTACATTAGATAGTTTCGAGATCAGAAGATTTTAATGGTTGTGTATGTTGACATTATGTCGTTTATAATATGATTTAGCTACTTTGGAGAAATCATTATAGAGTGATTTCATTTCAAACACAATATGGGACTTTGATAATTTGACAGATATAATTGTATTGAAACATTTAAAGATTTGATAGCTCCCCAAAACTGAATGTCATAGACCCAGGCGGATTTGAGGAGTAGCTTGTATAAGAGGAGTTTGTTTTTAAAATTAACATGTTGTAATGTGAGGAATAGTGTTGAGTCCAGATAACAATAATGTTATCCAGATAAGATAAAGATAATATTATAAAAAGTTATCTAAATACAGATAAAGATAAAAAAAATTAAATTTTATCTAGATACAGATAATAACGTTTTTATCTATATAATAAATTGTTAAATATCAATTATTTTAAATAACCAAAAGAAATGATGAATTAATTGTATTTTCATTTCATATTATTTGCACCTTACTAAATAAAGTAATTTAGTGTATTTAGTATTCTCACCAAAAATAATCAAAAAATACAATACAGATATATTATAAAAAAAAAAAAAAAAATAAAGGACAAAAGAAAGAGCACAAATTTTCAATGAAAAGTTCATTTATTTCAGGATTGAAACTTACATTTTTTGCGATTTAGAATTAATTTATCTAGATACGACTTTTTTTTTATCTGGATTAAAAATTAGATAATTTGAACTAATTTTATCTAGATAGCATAATAGATAAGTAGTTTTTATGTAGATAATTCCCAACACTGATGAGGAGGTAGTGAAGTGCATAGAATTAGAACAATTAGTAGACGGGAGATGTTTAGATATATATGAGGGCAATATCTTTGTCTTAATGTCTTAATTAACATACAGTTTCCCAATCTTAAAATTAAAATTAAAGTAAATTTTATGGAATAACATCGAACATGAAATTTAATATAATATTTATAAAACTTAGACATGATTTCACTAAGAAATGTCATGATCTCAAAACTATACAGAAGTATAGTCTGTAACGATTTAATCCGTATAACCTAGATATGCTCGTGATTCATGTGAAACAGATAATTGTATAATCAAAATTATTGCAATTTAGAATTTTAAGACGGTGACACTTCGATGAAAGTCATGTGGTCAACTTGAAGATGTATATATATATATATATATATATATCGTGGTCTTCAACAAGGGATCAGACCCGAAATCTGGAGTACCGTAGATTTTTGTAATAGTCATAATGATAATAAATTACAGCAATATGTGATTAGGTTGTTCATGAATAATAACACCAG